CGCAGAGTCGCCATTCTCTGCAATCACAAGCGGACTGTTGCCGCATCACATGCCAACCAGATGGAGAAGATGAGCGAGCGTGTAAGTCTGTCCTTTAAGACGTTCATAATGATGATTGCTAATCCCAAGGTTGTGATCAGATCAAGGGACTCCGTTACCAAAGATGGCGATTGAAGCGACAGATGCTTGACTTGGACCCTAGTCTCAAGAAGAAGAAGGGCGCCAAGTTCTTTGAGCTGGACGAGGACATGGATTTGGAATGGGTGAAGGAGCACCAAGCCTTCCTAATCGAAGAGCAGCGACAGAAGATTAAGAAGAAGTTTGAGAAGGAGAATGAGAAGCTTGTTGCGGAAGGAGAGAAGGAAATGAAGGCCAGCGAGCTCGAAAGCCGGCTCGAGGCGGCCAAGGAGATGGAGAACAGGTTCAAGAAAGAAAATAAGACGGGCAAAGTCGAAGCTGAGGGCAAGAGCCCGAGTGTCGAAAAGATCGAAGCAGCCATCACGAAGCTCGAACAGCGCATTGAGACAATGGAGCTACAAGCTCAGGACAAGGAAGAAAACAAGGAAGTCGCTCTGGGAACTTCGAAAATCGTGAGTCGCCCATCCTCTACCCCCATGATCATGAGATGCGCCGGAGTATCGACTGACATTTCTTAGAACTACATCGATCCTCGTCTTACAGTCGTCTTCAGCAAGAAGTTCAATGTCCCCATCGAGAAGTTCTTCTCCAAGTCCTTGCGGGAGAAGTTCGAATGGGCCATCAAATCAGTCGACGAAAACTGGGAGTTCTAGATGCCGTCATTTAAGGCCGTTCAAGTCGATCCTCGCCTTGTATTGGTTCATGAATTTATCTTTACGTCTCAGCATTCTTTATAGCGAATAGACGGAGTGCTCCATAGCATATTCTGAATTTTGAAGCCTTTCCTCGCCACAATACTTGCTTGGGAAGCCCTGTCTATCGTCCTGCTCACTCAAGCAATGTGCTTCGGGCGGTAGGAGAATTTATAGGGTTCATCCAATGCTTGCTTCTTGATTTGGATCTCTGCTTTTGCTCTTTGATTGCGTCTGCTCGCAGAGGTTGGTGACCTGGTTTGCCGGCTGGGTGACTTTGTTCCACCAATCTGATATCATTCAAAAATGATAGATCATTACAGTTGTCGATAAATCTAGAGAGAGTACACGATCTACAATATATATGCTTGTGAAGATCACTCATTTGACTTGCAAAGAGGAAGTGTGCCATTTTCCAAGATCACAAACCCGTGTCACAGGAGTCCTGTAATACCTCACCATGCAAGAAACACAAATGGAACGAAATAACATTATTATACATTTTCATCTAGCAATGCGGTCCGAGTCAGATGCAGGCATCAATGGCAAAGAAACATGTTGGCCATGTTCGACAACGAAGAGTAGCAGAAATGTACAGTAAAGAAGCAGACGGGAAATTCCAGCGCAGCCAAAGTGCATATGTTATGTTATGTACACCCAAGTCTAAATGTTCATGAGGGTCATGAGCAGAAGAAGAAGCAGCACTCTCTGAAGCAAGGAAGATGATGAAGTATGCAGGTGGATACGAAGCGGATATCACGAACATGCCGGTGTTGACTGTCGCGAAGCTGGAGGTTGAAGAAAAGAAGAGTAGAAGAGGAAAGTTCAATTAAAGAGAAGAAGGTGTCAGAAACGGAAATCCCTCGTTTGTGGTTGAAGCTGACTAGGAATTCCTGGCAAGATGGCTATGTGGTGCCTGACACTCTTTTCGAGCGTCGAATCTCAGGGTCATCTTGTGGTGGTCTTGGAGAGAAAAAGCTCGGTGGACCCGGCGATGCTTTTGGAGGTTGGGTGATTGCTCAATAACAGGCTACGGGCTCTATGGCCACCAGCCCATACGTTTGTAGCTCTCGACCATGGCCCGGACTCCGTCCGCATCAAAGCGTTCTCGCGTTGGCTTCCAACCGGTTGTTGTTTCGAACAAGGTGCCATCAATCGACATATCCTGGTCCTTGATGACATCTTTCTCGAGGAAGGGGCTGATCGGCCCAGGACGTGTGATGCCCGTTTTCTCCAGCAGCTCTGCCCAGCCCTGCAAACTCACCTCATTCATGTCATCGACAACATCGTCAAGATTCAACTTGGCGAGTTGAGATGCCAGCGATCCGAGGAACGAGCATTTGAGCCCGAAGACCGTGGACAGAGCCTCCGCAACATGTTCCTGGCGAGTGTCGCCGTGGTCGACGACGTTGAAAGCAATCGGGACGGAGTCGTCAACGGTGGCCGCCCTCCATTCGGCCGCCTTCCACAGAGCGCTGGCTGCGTCTTTTACGTAGAGCGTGTTAACCTTTAGGTTCTTGGTGTAGAGAAGTTCCAGATCCGTTTCCATGTCCAGGTGTACCCGCGCCAGGCAGATACCCATCGCGAAATAACCCGAGTCGTATTCACCGTAAACGTGTGGAAGCCGCAACAGACAGTAGTTGAGACCCGGAATCTTCTTCAGCTCTTCCGAAGCCTTCAATTTCCATTTGGCAAGACGGTGCCAGGGCTCGAGCTTGTCGTTCTCTTTTCGAGGGGAGGAGCCAGGCTTGTACACATGAGCGGTTGAGCACTCGACGTAGGAACGGATGCCTCGACGAGCCACTTCGCGGCCCAATGCCACCGTAAGATTATAACTTCGTAGTTCGTAGACGTCATCTGGCTGAGAGTGCCGTGTCTCACCACCGCAGTTGATCACATAGTCGAATTGTTCTCCGTTTGCACGGTCAAATATCCGCGGGAAATGCTCTTTACACCACATCAGACGACCGTCAGCAGTAATTTAGAGCAAAATATGCGATGAAGTGGTCACTCACGCTCCCGACTAGCGTCTGCTTGAACGAACTTATCTTTAGAGCATGCCTCCTCGAATTCGGGTGCCAACCAGGCCAGCTGAGGAAGGACCTTGTCCACAAGTCTGACCTCCGATGCGAGGTTGTTTTCATGAATGTACAGAGCTAGATGACGACCGATGAATCCTAGAGGGTTTTACGAGTTATAGGTCAGTGGTCCTTCCCTTTTTACCCCTTTCCTGGCATAAGAATCGAGATCGTATCGCGCATACCTAATCCTCCGACAATTAACACAGCAGGCTTTGTCCCTTGGTCGCTCGCCATGATCGTATGCGACGGTACTTCAGAAACACGCTTAGATAGTATCTCTGCTCGCTTTCCTCTGACCTCGACTGTCTAGTCAATTGTAAACCAGAATCGAATCAAGTGAAATGTTTTCAATCGAGCTGGTTAAAGATTCAACGCCCCGCACCCAAGTCCGACAAGCCAAAAGAATGCGGGGGGAATATTCAGAAAAGGGGGAGGGGAAAAAGAGAAGGAAAATGATTAGAGAAGAGATTAAGTATCAGTCCGCTAACGATGAAGGTGTTGACGAGTCTAAGTGAGGACGACAAGCCTTTTTTCTTTGTCTGGTTCTTGACAGTTCCAGGAAAGAAAGCAGAAAAGAAAGGGAAAAGGAGATGCCAACGTGCAAACACGAGGGCGACTCAAGATGGTCACTTGGGGGCAACCATTTTGGGACTAAGGAGACGCTTTGATGAGCCGGAGCGTATCAGCTTTAATGGAGTCGAACCTAATGGCCCCGGCCTTTGAAACAGCCTCCTCTGATCTGCTGTCGATGAGTTGCACCACGCTTGTAAATTGCTTGCTTTCGCAATGAATCAGATGGTTCATAATGAATTAAAGGTAGCATCATTCTTCGTTCCAACCGTTCTGTGTTCTGTGGCGTGGCAGATCGCCTCGACATAAAGAGTTGAAGAAGATCACCATGATGACGGCATCCCATCCTTCTGCCTCTCTTCTGGAACTAGATTGACTAAATCTATCTACGGTATGACCCGAACCAAATCCAAGGAACCAGCAATCATCTTGTTGGTACATGGTAGACCAGTACATGCTTCAATATTATTCCTCCTCTATGCTCTGACTTACTGACTCTCCCTCGTTTTGTCCAGTTGCAGAGCCATTGACAAATGCATACCTACCGGGTATGAGGATCAACTTCATCTGCGAGAGATTTTCTCACAAATAAAAACAAAATGATGATAGTCACGAACATGGACCAACAGAAAAAGGTGGAGGGCCTTTCGCATTTCCCACCCGAACAAACTCCGTTAGCGCTACGTCTAGAAATTTCGCCAGCACAGTGGGGATATCCGCTGTTCAGCATAACCAATATCTGCTTGGTCTCTGCAGAGAACCCAGGAAATGATTGATCATCTCTTCCCCTGCCAAGCACGCAGTGTGGGACGCCCTCCGTTCGTCAGGGACACCGTCCGATCATAGTTCCGCCTCTAAGTGGGTTTGCTCCCAGGAGGTACGAAGCCACGCGCCCCAAAGAGCAATGGTCGCGCAGAGAGGCGCAAGAGAATACTGGCTGGTTTGGATTGTTGGTCACGATCACTGTGAGAGACCGAGGGACTATTCCAGATTGCGAGACATAAATCCCGTTTGGGCAGATGAAGCCGATCGTTTCGGGGTATGGGATGGATGATCGACGTTCGTTCATTTGCATACTACTTGTCCATTCGCAACTAAAGATCGAGCGTCTGAAGTAATAGCTAGTTATTCCTGGAGCAATCTGAATTGGTTCCTCGACCCTCGTAAACATGCGCTTGACTTCACTAAGCCTTGACCACTTGAGCACTCGCTGGCGGAGGGACTACAAAAGCCACTATTGAAAATACCAAAAGCTTGCGCAGACATGTCCGGACTCCAGACTGCAGAGCCTAAAAGGCCCATCATCCTAGGCTATTTATTGCTATCGCTCTATTTCCCACATGGTGCTCAAGCCACCGCTGGGGCAATCCAAATCCCGCAATGAATGATTATCATTCAGAGCAACAAGGCAGGCATTTCTCACTCTGGTTCCCCTCCATTTGCTTCCATTTGCTTCCATGTCCGAGTCAAGAGTTGCGAAAGGAACTTATGTCTAGATAAGGGTTCCGCATAGACAGGGTCAGGGGACAACATGTAGCATCACAGCGATGTGGAATCGCTGCGTTCCACCCTGACTCTGCTCTTCACTTTTGACTCTCCATGCTGTCCGAAGTTCCCGCATGACTAGTTCTAAGTCCTCGTCCCTACCCTGGCGTATCCGTATAAAGAACTCTGACCAGTCGAACTTAACCGACGCCGCTACAACGGCTTGTGGTGGAGGACTGCTGTCCCACTTTGAGATCTCCTTGTTCAGTTGAGCGCTAGGATCCCATTCGTGGATGTTGCATTCCTCCGCCATGCGTGCTAGGAAGGATGCTGCGGATTGAAAAATCTGGAAAGGGACCCAAACAGGCGCCATGTCCGGCTGGTTTGAGGCAGATACCAGGAACTTCGTCTGCTGCTGTAGTGCGTCTTCGGACATCCGCGCTGTGTCTAAATTGCCTGTTGCAGTGAATCTTGAGTGGTTGGTTATCAACGAGTTCGTTTTCGGGGATCCAGAGTAGTCAGAATGGTTTATGTTTCTTGGTGCCTCATTCAGGCTGGCCGGGTTCTGTGTTCTCATGATGCTATCGGCGGTGTCATTGATTGAGCTGAACGGCCTAATGGCCCTGGTATCTGCACTTCTGAGTCGTGTGGGCGAAGCTTCAAGATCATCAGGGGCTCTCCTTTTCCCTAGACGGCCATTGCTTTCGCCAATCCTGGACGATAAACTTCCTGCCAGTCCATTTGTAGGAACGAGGCTCGAGGAAGACAGCGTTTTGGCAGGCGCATCGCATGGGGTTTGAGGAGTCTGGGTTGCCCTTCTTGTCAGACATCATATCGAAACACCGAATCAAAAGAGCACATTCATTTCACTGACCATATTAGCCTTGAGGGCGCTTCGAGCCTTCTTCTGTAGCAGCATCACAATCACACGCACTATCCTACCACGGCATCAAAGCAGTCAGTCAGCGGCGACCCAACATATAGACCGAGTACTTACTCTTTCTTCCTCTCCGGGTAGAGACAAAGAGAAGTCGGATCCGCTCGAGAATCCTCCATAAGGAACCTCTCTCTATTCCGCTTCGTACCCCAATACAGCGTCCCATACAGGTCCAAGAAGCTCTCAGCACACGACCTCCGCTCAGTTTCAGATTGCTCCAACATTCCCCAGTCAAACCCGAATTGCTCTGTGTGTTCGGTGAGCCGTGACAGGAATTCCTTGTGATATTGGTCTTTCAAATCGAGAAACAATGTAAAATCGCGGTATCGCATGTTGAGGCGCAGAACACCCTCGTCCAGAGCTTCTTCCATGGCATTCTTCTCGGTATGTCCGATAGATAAAGTTCTCTGGCTCCTTGTTTTGGAGGCCATATTTCGTGTTCTTAATGTGATCGTGATCAGTTTAGTCTTCGGGCCGGCAAGAGGTGAGCATTGAATGAGAGCGTGGGATGCATTCCTCTCGGGAAGAGTGTGGTCAAGGCACAAAGGTGTGAATGTGAAGTGATGAGTGTGTTGAGTTGATTCATGTGTTGGACTGTCTTAGTCGTCGGTCCAAAATCCAACTCTTTTTCGCACTCTCCACAAATTCACAAGAATTGATGTTTGCAAGCTTGTTTAATTTATGCAGGTGATTGCTATTGCAGGCAAGATATTTAGCTGTGCTTTCTTACTCCCTATGCTTTGTGTGCGGTAATGCCTTTTAGAGTGAATGAGTTTCTTTTACTCTTCAGAATACCATGCATCGTTATAAGCCAGGATTAGACTTGAGAAAATGAGCTCGTAGCTTTTAAGACTAAGATAGTGAGTGCTTTGATCAGAATGAGTTATCAGAGCTATGTAGTATCATGGTCATCATTATATAGCGAAACGCTTTCAGAAAGTAAAGCATAACCTGACCAAGCTGAACAGCTTAATCTGTGTACAGGAAGATTCCTTCAAAAGGTTGCTCAGCGCAAAGTACAAGAGTAGACATTGGTCTTTGACTCCATTACTCTGCCCCCAGATATTTCAAAGAGTTTTTGAGTTCTTTGATCGCCGTATTAACATCATCAAATGTCAACGCAGACACAGCCCAGCGGGCATGCTTTTGAGCTTGGGCAATGGCTTGGTCATCAATCCCGTGTGAATTGCTTTGACTTGAAGCTGAAACTGTGGGTACGGCCGCTGGTGCTGGTTGCTGGACCGGGCGTGAGACTACCGGTACCGGTGCTGTATCGGGTTGTGCAGGTGTTGAAGGAGCCCAGGTACTTGGCTTGGGATGATTATAGAAAGAGCTGGGTTGGTGAAACGTAGCTGGAGGACTTGCAGGAGGAAGGTCGGAAGGAGGAGGAAAGGAGTGGAACGAATTAGAAGCAGCGGGATGATGAGCGCCCAGGTTCGAAGGTGTGTCTGGGAGATTGGGGATCGACGAAGAGGAGGCAAACGTCACTGGAGCTGAAGGAAGATTTAGGGTCGAGCCTTGCTCGCCAGTAGGACCTGTTTCTGGAGCAGGTGTCCGTGGAGCGCTTGTTGGAACATCAGGTATGGTGAACGAATCAATCGTACGCTGCGGCCGAGGAGCCGACGAAGATCTCGACGGGTGCAACGATTCGTCCAGCGATGACTGCCGTGCCATAGCTCTCTCGGCACGCTCCGATTCATCAGGGACCTCCTCCACGGTTGGTTGCTGCGGCTGCGAGACAAGATCTGCCTGCGCCTCAAGATCATCTTCGGTTACTGTCGGTCCTTCTGTCTCGTCGTCTTCCTTGACAACCGGGTTTGTTGCGTTGGGATCCTCTCCGGCCTTGATCGCCTTCACAATTCTCAGCGCATGATACTTGGCAAACTTGATTTTCGCAGCAATTTCGGGTTCGAGTGGGTTCCAAATTTGACATAATTCAAGAAACGTAGCGGCGGCCTGAAAAGTGTCTGCTGTTTGCCTGCAACCCGTCAATCACAATCCAATCTTGAGGTTCGTCCATGACTACTCACTTGGTCACTTTGTTGGCCCTCATAGTCGTATCCGCCCGGTTGAAGACCTCCAAGCCGAACTGCTCCACGTAGGCATTTGCCGCGACTGCATCGATCACTGTATCATTATCCGAGTTTTCATTTCTGAACTTTGTACCATAACATGTCAACATTCAGTTACACTATGAAATCGCTCCAGGGGGTCCCATTGCTCGACGTACTTGTTCCAGCTTCTCCATCAGATCCATCGCGTAGAGTTCGACTTCATGGTCCGATCTGTGCAATCCTCTCTCAATTATTTGGTTGGCTATCCAGTAGTTACCTGCATTCGTAAAGTTATGTGTCAGCGTAGGTGTCTCGAAAGTACAATCGCACGGCACTCACACCAGTAGGCAACGACGGGCTTCACCCGCTCAATTTGGGCCGCTCTGGCCGCGAAACGCCCAATGTCCGCAGACTTGAGACTAGCAGGAATGTTGCTCATCATTGATATGAATAGATTAAGCTCAGCAGCCGTATGTGTATGGAGAAATCGGGGATTGTTGGGGTGGAGGAGCGGGACGCATGAGCAAAGCGGGGATGACGTTGAAGCTCCAATTTAATGTTGTCGGTCACCGTACCGAGCCTGGTGGAAATTGAACTACAACCGTAAACGGACTGCAGAGACATGCATTATACACAGTATGCTCATTTAGGATTTTCCAAACTACAATTCAAGAGAACCATATAATTTGCATGTCAAATTGATGGTTTTCAATCATTATTTTCATATCTCGTTACTTGTACTATCGTACGGCGTCACGCAAAGGTCTCACACTCATCAACAACCCCGCAGACCTAGACAACGTTGCCAAATCTGGTGTTCAAGCATCTTCAACAAACCATTCTCCGATCTCGACTCGCTCTTCTGCCAAGGCCTCAACCTCAAAGTGATCTTCTACCTGACCTCCAGGACCTCCAATCCTTTCAAGGACAATCCACACACCACGGCTGTCCTCAAGATCTGGATGCAGGTCGAAGTCTTCAATACGTACTCCAGATATGGCATCGCTGTGATCTCCGTCTTCTGAAGTTGCCAGAACCTCCTTGTAAGGACCTTGGCCCAGTTCAATTGTCATCAACACTGGTGAAGGGCCAACGGGATGACTCCCGATCGTGGAACGGCGACTGCGCGCAATAAGCTTGATTCGGGTAAGTCGCGGGACCTGCAAAGGCGCAAGCATCCTGTCTCTTCCCGGTGGCAAGACGCCAATATCTGATATCACTGCTCGCCGTCCTGCTGCTTCGGGTGCAAGGGGCTTGACCTCGCATGGAACCATAGATGAGACCCAAAGTGTGAATCGGCCAAGTTGGTCGGGAGCGAATGTGGAACAAACAATCGTGTACACACCCTTATCCAGGTGTCTCTTTTCAGCAAGAGCCGCTCCACGACGATAGTCGCCGCTATCAGTGATAATGTCGCGGTTGCGAACTCTAGTCACACGCTTTCCGTTCGAAAAGAACAACTTGGCATGTATTGCAAGGTCGGTGTCGGACGATTCCAACAAAATGGAAATATCGGTCGTATTCGATAGCGTCAATGTGAACTGCGGATTCGTTGGATACCGAGCTGATTCTGCATTGCCGCCTGCCGTCGAAGGCATCCAGGAACTCTGGACCTTACTCACACACATATATTTATTCTGTGATGGTGCGATATGCACAGGCGAGATTGAGAGAGCGGATAGTGTGAAATTTTGACTCAAAGTGGGCAGCGATTCCTCAGAGACAACTGCAGTATAAGTTGTTCTCGGCGGCATCTCTAGCCTCATCAGGGTGTTGGGTGAGTCCACGTAGGGACCCCGATGAAGAGCACCATCACTTAGAGAAACACGCTTACCATCCGCATTGAATACGTAAATGCTAATAAACCCAGCTTGAGCGTTCTCAGATAAAGAATAGCCGGGATGATCAATCGTTCTGAAATGCTTGCCGAGGAGCAGCCAGACAGTACCTCCTGTTTCGGAGGTTACTGCAAACTGGGGATTCTTCACGAAGCAGCCCGGAACCCCCTTTCCAGCTGCGAGGTCCCATGTAAAATGGATATCTTGGCGATATTTGAAGAGTCTGGGACTCCAATTCAGATAAAGGTTTTCAAAGTTTTGCAGGACCACCTCGCAGTCCATCCAGAACGTCCCAGGAGAGAGAGACGACCGGTCATGCGGCGCGTTTGACTCAAGGGCATTCTCGGTGCTTCCATCAGCCGTGTGGACTCCTGCCCATGGGTTCTTCACTAACATTTGGCGACGCCCCTTGAACTCTTTCATGTCAAGAATCGCATAATCATGCTCACTGACCAAGCCCAGTTCTTCCTCTTCCCTCTCGGTTAGCTTCCCAGTGCCGATAGTCAACAAGACATCGCCAAATTGAAACGACCTAAAGAGACGCTTCCATATTTGATCGCTAGTCACATCCTCATGATGTAGGAAGACTTGTTCGGGTATCCAACCCGTCAGTACCCACAGGTCTGTTCCAGAATTACTCCCGGGAAAGTCATAGCCCCCTCTAAGCTTTAGGTACGCCTTTTCCACGAGCGCGGGCCACAGAAAGTTGGGGTTATTTCTATCGATAACGTAAAGTGACCTTGAGGTCTTCGACGATGGCAAGCGGTCATCGATGACTACCTTTCTGAAGCATCCGTTGAAATAGAAACGAAGAATGTATCGTCCTGAAGGTGAAGCCTTGGGGTGGCTTGTGTCATACTCGCAGGGATAAATCAGAGGGAGATAACGCTACTTCCATGTCAGAGCCTGAGACACGAGTCATCAACAGTCGGAGGGATTACCTTGTCAAGGCCACGTTCTGACCGCGAGGTTGTAGCGCAGAGACTGGCGACAACAGAGCAGTCTGTCAAGACGTCTTGTACAAGATCAGTATTCTCTGGTACGGACATTACGGACGTTTCCCCGCCTGCATGCTTCGCCAACAGCTCGGAAGGCCGCTTCCACCCATCAAATATGTCCTTCTGTTTGTCAGAAAGATGGAGGTCAGGCTTGTCACTAGCTTGTGTTAACAGTCATCCAGACACTACATGTAGTAAAAACTGCATGAACGTACATGAATAATTGCCCTCCCTCACTAGGTTCGAATTCTTCTAGACTCGGAGGCCCCGCCCATGGCGGAAAGATAAAGCCATTCAGCTTGGCCCCTTCAAGTAAGATGATCTCTTCACGAGTTGTGAGCGTGCGCGTAGAGACTGGTTTCTGTAGTTCCGCTGCATGTCTGTCATGGACTCGGATCGCGGATCGCCAATCCTTGGCTTCTTTGATTTTCTCTGCTCTGGAGAGCCATTCCTTGCATTTCACATCCAACGACTGCTTATCTTGAGTGGTGGCTGCCAGAGACAAAGCTTTCATATAATGCTCAGCGGCGTCAATAGCAGCCTCCAGGGCTTGTCTTTGAGAAGTAGCTGCAGATACATCTCGTTCCGCTTTCTAATCACTGGTTAGTCGAGGGGGTGCCTGCTGGTTAAGTCGAAAGAGTGGAAACTATCTACCAGAGCTTGAGCAATCAGGGTCTTTTGCGAAGAGCCGTGGGGTCTAGACATCCTGCCCCACGAGGGGTAAGAATTGTTTGCTGAGCGTCTGTATGGGTGTAGCCAGATCTACTATGCGTCACGGCCTGTCACCCTTGCAACGAGCATCCGCGAGACATTAGGCAAAGATCAGCTAGCAAAAGCCACCTATCAGAGTACGGAGGGATCAAAACGGTTGACTCTGCTTGTGACCGATCCGAGGGGTCGCAGGGAAATCTCCGATCGTGACATCCGAGGTCAACACTGTCCCGCGATGTGTTGTATCTCTGACGGGTTTCCGATTGGCGGGTAGTTATTTAAATAGAGGTGGAATCAGGAAATGGGTATGCGATGACCTTGACGGTCTTTGAGAGACAGAGAAAATGCCCTTGTCTCGCTAGTAGTGAATGGTAATTTGCTCCTTAGGTCGAACGTATGACGATGATAATAATGATGATAGTGCTGAAGCATGTAACCTTGAAAGCTACCTATGTACGGAGTAGATAGATAGCGTATGGTTCGGCGGGGAGGAACGGGAATGCGGCGGGCGGTGAAGGCGGCAGACAGAGAACACAGTGGACCAAACACTGGACACTAGCAACAGAGATACCTCGGCTCATTTCGTCATGCGCGGTCCACCGAGGTGCTGGGTACTTCCGTACTACTACTGTACTGTCAGTACGGAGTATCTAGTAGATACCTACCTACCTACTTACTTGTTTCTTCTCTTCAGACAATCTCGTTGCATTCCCTTTTTCATACTTGGACTGATATGCGTCCAGTGCGTTCGCTTTCCTCTGCCTACTGAAGGATAACGGCGTTGCGATTAATTGTCATCTTCCCACCCCACCCAGAATTATCTCTCTCTCTTTGCCAATTATTACTTCGCCCAACCTTCAGTTGGAGATACCGAAGTGAATAGAGACTGAGTCTTTTGACTTTTTCTCTCCTTTTGTCCTCCATACCTCCTTCTTCCCTCAACCTGTCTTGAAGAATCACATATCGGGGTACAATTTAGCTCGTCGCAGACAATGACGGGCCAATCCAAAGCCATGCGTCTTTCCCCCTGGGGAAGTGCTGTTGCGGGTGCAACTGGCGCAGTTCTCGCGAATGCGATCGTATATCCGCTAGATATGTACGTCGTTTTCTCTTATAGTTGCAGAATCTGAAGGTTACGAAGCTAACACAAAAATGAATTGATCTACAGAGTCAAGACGAGACTGCAGGTGCAGGTGAAGAGCGACAGAACCGATGGATCAGACGGAACGGTGCACTATGAATCGACCTTGGATGCCATCAACAAAATTGTGGAGAGCGAGGGAATTGAGGGTCTATATTCTGGAATCGTTGGGTCCTTGATCGGTGTTGCATCCACCAACTTCGCCTACTTCTACTGGTACAGCGTCGTTCGCTCCCTCTACATGGCATCTGATCGGGTGCCGAAGCCTCCTGGCACCGCTGTTGAGCTGAGTCTGGGTGCCGTCGCGGGCGCTGTTGCTCAGATTTTCACTATTCCGGTCGCAGTCATTACAACCAGACAACAAACACAACCGAAGGGGGAGAAGAAAGGCTTGATCGAGACGGGTAAGGAGGTTGTCAACAGCGAGGATGGCTGGACTGGTCTGTGGAGGGGTCTCAAGGCCAGTTTGATTCTCGTCGTCAACCCGGCAATCACATACGGAGCCTATCAGCGCCTGAAGGACATAATTTTCCCAGGGAAGAACAGTCTCAGACCTTGGGAAGCTTTCCGTAAGTTACGCACGTCATTCGACTGTGGTCGCCGCTTGAAAACTAATTGGTATTTCAGTTCTCGGTGCACTTTCAAAGGCTCTTGCCACCATTGCAACTCAACCACTGATCGTTGCGAAGGTTGGTCTTCAGTCTAGGCCACCCCCAGGTCGCGAAGGAAAGCCCTTCAAGACCTTTGGCGAAGTCATGCGTTATATCATTGAAAAAGAAGGAGCTCTTTCCTTGTTCAAGGGCATTGGACCCCAAATTACCAAGGGACTTTTGGTACAAGGTCTCCTGATGATGACCAAGGAGAGAATGGAACTTACGTTCATTCTTCTCTTCGCATACCTGCGCAAGATCAGGCAGGAGAAGCTTCGAAAGGCCGTTGACGCCGCTGCGTCGAAGGCCAAGACGAGTCTTCCCGCGACTCTCAAATAGAATTCTGACTCAGTCGGCCTTAATCTTCTTTGTTCCGCGACCACAATTTCTCGTCCCACCTTCATTTCTGTTTGTTCTTTCAGGCGCTTGGGTTTGTATATTTCTCGGGCTTCCCTCCTAAAGGTTTTCTTCGATCCTCCTGTATATTTTGAGAGGCAGCCATGATATATAGAGCATGAACTATACCTCAGATGTACATCCAGGATAGACCTGCGTAATGCAAAAGCTGATGATTACAGAGAGACAACATGTGTCGGTAAATCTTTCGCGATACAGTCAGACATCGACAAAGTATAGAGACGAATCCCCAAAGGTAAACCACTCAGTACTACGTGCTACCACCAATAGACATTATTGTGAAGGGTTGAACAAGGTAGGATATGATCTGTAATATTGTTCGAGAATAAGTCCTGTAGATCTGTCCAGTCTGGCCGCAAAATATATCGCCTCGGATAACGGGATATATGTTTCGGGTCTGACCGCCCAACCCTTCCCCATAAACAACACTAATTACGAACTGCGCTTCTCTCAATTGTCATCAAGCTTCGGATTGCCAGTCCTAACTGGCCAGTCCTCCACAATCTCAAAGCCTCCAACCAAGCAGCAGCGAGATTATGAGCCGTCATGCGATGGCCGCCATGGGCTTCCGACTCGCAAGCCCAGCAACAAACCGCGAAATCCTCATCCGAACACGATGAAAGACAAGCCGCAACGAGCTCGACCACAACCTCAAAAAACAAGGACTGGGAGTCCTCGGTAACTGCGATAGACTGGGCTGCCTTTACAGAAGCCAGAACGATCATCCCTACCCTGATTCTGACGAGCGGTTTCCTGGGCGCATTCTACATCCATCACCGCTATCTGCGCCGGTTCCCCGACGCAGTGAGTATCACGCCCTCGTATTTCCGTCGCAGGAGTCTGCTGGGCCAGGTCACGAGCGTTGGCGACGGGGATAACTTTCGGATATATCATACACCTGGCGGGAGACTTGCGGGGTGGGGATGGCTGCCGTGGAAGAAGATTCCGACGTCGAAGAAGGAATTGAGAGATAAGACGGTGTGTTTGACCTCAGTTTATTTCCTCCTGTCGTCTGTTGCCAAGGAGAGTTACGAACTATATCTCATACTGAAATTCAGGTCCACATTCGTCTAGCTGGCATCGACGCCCCCGAGCTCGCTCATTTCGGCCGTCCCGAACAGCCGTTCGCCCGCGAAGCACACCAATGGCTGACCTCGTATCTTCTCAACCGTCGAGTCCGCGCCTACATCCATCGTCCGGACCAGTATCAGCGTGCGGTGGCCAGTGTGTACGTGCGCCGGGTTCTGGACTTTCCCCCGCTTCGTCGTCGGGACGTGTCGTACGAGATGCTGAAACGGGGGCTCGCGACCGTATACGAAGCGAAATGGGGCGCGGAGTTCGGTGGCGAGGCCATGGAGCGCAAGTATAAGCAGGCAGAGTGGTGGGCGAAGCTGCGGGGTGTTGGACTGTGGAAGGACTATCGTCGCAATACGAAAGAGTGGGAGAGTCCCAGGGAGTACAAGACTCGGATGGGACTGGAGGAGGCTGTGCAGCCCCGGATTGAAACTAAGAAATGAGGGCATGACCGGGATATGAGTTCAGGGTAGTGTATGGTGTCTATAACCCGCTGTCACGACGTTACGGTTGATATCCTTTGCCTTCCTTGTATGATGTTGACGTTTGGAGAGCTTCTGTGATCATAACTTTTACGTTATTACTATAGATATTCACGCCATGACCTTCTGTTTGTCATTCTAGAAGTTGAGAGGAATCTGCCTTCTAGTTATCTTTCGCCAAGTGCATATTTCGGTTCTCAGAGGCCGGTCGTCTCCATGGCTTAGGGAAACTCGCGTGGTTTCTGGTCCACCAACACATTAGGTCTTTGGCTTAGTAGTCCCAGAGTTGACAAAACCAGGTAAGTGAACTAGAAGTGATGTGGAAGAAAGGCAGGAAAGCAGATTAAGACACCTAGACTTTGAATACTTTAAGTTAGAGCTATTTCCTCCTTAGGTGTACGTGATTAAGGCAAGAAAGCTCTATTATAATGGACACCCTCTGTATATAGTGATTTATGACACACTTATGGGGTATATATGAAGACCAGCGAGCAATAGTGAAGAACTTAGACACAGACACGCTGTCATCATTACTCAGAGCCCTACCTTTACTCAAAGAATGGATTATTCTTCTGTAAATAAAGATAAGCTTGACAACTGATTATGAATTCAGTAGTAGCTGATAAAGCTCATGGAGTCCTGATCATGGAGTTCAAAATACATTGACTCATGCAGAAGTGATACCCAATTCATAACAACTAAAACCGTGATTGCATGTCTTGTCCGTGTCTTGCCAACCAATCGCATATGATACAGACGAAAGTTCAATAGCAATATGTCCAAATGGCAAGTTTCAACAGAACTTGCGCTCAATCTCTGCAAAGAGCTTTGGGCTAATTTCATCGCTAGAGTTGCCCTCCACACGCCATAGACAGCCCTTCCGCTCATAGTGCTGCAGCAAAGCCTTGCTGGTTTCTTCAAACTTGTGCAGTCGCTGCTTCCATGTATCGATCGAGTCGTCCAGCCTTTGTGTCAGGGGCTCTCCCGTCACATCGTCCTTGCCAGGGACTTTGGGGACGTTGAAATCGGTGTTGTACACTCTCCCGGACGGTTCGTGGACCCAGCGCGATGCGATTCGCGAGAGAATGACGGATGGTGGTGTGACGAGGTGAACGACGAAATTTACGGGGACAATTGTGTCCAAGCTCGACGCTTGGGCGGCAGTTCGTGGGAATCCATCGAGGATGAATGAAGCGGAGGGGGATAACGATGGGGTCGGACGAGATGTGTGATGTGATGTGGCCGTTGCGAGAGGCGGTGTTGCTGGGAGCCAGCCCTTGGACTGAAATTCGGAGGAGATGAGCTCGAGGATCATGGAATCGGGGACGAGGTTGCCAGCCTGAATTGCCGCCTCTGCTTTGAGACCTTCGACCGGACAAGATGGTTAGAGACATGCGCTTGTGCGACTCAATAAGATGATCTGGTTTACCTATCGGGGTCTTCTTCCGCACATTTTCGCGCAACAGGTCCCCTGAGCTGATCGAGGATAGCTCTGGATATCGTGCGAGGAGCCTTTCTGTCTGAGTTCCCTTCCCTACGCCAGGCGCACCAATGAGGATGATACGCGCAGCCTTTCTGAGCTGCCGAGTGATTGAGTTCATCCCCTTCATTCGCCCGCGTGCTGATATGAAACACTCTTCGAGGGAGGATTATGAGCCTCCACGTTCCGACAGCCTCTTAGATTCTTTGAACTTTAGCCGCGATGTTGCTAGATGTAATCAATTGATAAGAAAGGGAGGTTGAGACCCCAGATGTCATGCGCTGTACATATTCAGTCGAACTGTTTATTTCAATTGTACTTGAGCCTGGGAGATTGGCAGAGGAAGCTGTAACTGTCTGGAATCATATAGATATAACCTGTCGATCAAAACAATAATATATCTGCAGTGTTTGAAATTAACTCCGACACTTTATCGCAGGGCTTGGGGAAAGTCGCGATGGATTCCGTGGGGTTTAGCACCGTCTTCTTGATTAGGAAATCGGTGAGCGGAGATCGGAGGAGAGTCCGACGAGTCTTTACGACCCTTTGCTGGCAGCAGAAGGATACTTATAAGCCCGATATTGGAGGATACAGCTATATCAAAGGGTGTATAGTTGAGATGAACCGACAACATGCGATGCTGTACTCCGGAGTATACCTCCTCTCTTTCACATGCGTGCATGATACTTCCAAGTCCAATCGCATCCGTGAGCAATCTTTCCAGTGGTACGACTCCACCAGTCGAGTCCACCCGGACAAATCCCGTAATTCGAAGCTACCGGGGACTCCAAGCGTTCCTCGGCTGTCGAAAATGGAGGCCTGAGGCTACAAAACTCTGGAAGGGCGAAGGGAAAGTCACGTGCCTTTAGTGATCGACGCGTACTGAGCGCGTCTCGCGTGGGGTTCGTGAAAGTGGACGATATTGGAGGCTCGACAGTATCTCTACAAGACTGCCATTTGAACACAATATTCGCGCGCAGATAGACTCGGAAGTCATTCTGGACTTCAATTCAAAATGATTCGGCAAGATTATCAGAAAATCGATCCAAAGAGAAGAGCGACCTTAGACCACAAGAAAAAGCAGTTCGCATCGCCGGTATACAAGCAGCAAGACTACCCGCACCGTCTGAATTTCTACGATATTCCCCCAACCGCGGAGATCACACTCGAGCAGTTTGAGCAATGGGCCATCGATAGACTCAAGGGTATGGATGGTGATTCCTGTTAGCATGCCGTGTTCATCGACTCATAGTTCTGTCCAGTACTGGCCGAAATCGAAGCCTGTTCCTATCGAAATAAGTCGGCTGCGGAGACAGCGGCGCATATCACTCCTCTCCTCCAGAAATATCTCCCACTTTCCTCCAATACATCCTCTTCCTCCGGTGCATCAGATCAGCGACTAAAGAATGAACGCCAGAAAGATCACTATTCCCACTTCATCCTTCGCCTGGCGTTTTCAGCAACCGAGGACCTCCGCCGACGCTTCGTGCGGGCGGAGACAATGCTGTTCAGGTTTCGGTTTCAACAAGATGACTCGCGAGAGAAACGCGCCTTTATTGAGTCCTTAAATCTTGATTGGGAACCTGTAAGTGATGAGGAGAGGCGCGAGGTTGCTGAGAAATTAGTGAGTGCGACACCCGGTCTGCGGCGTGTTGATGAGGAGACTTGGTACAAAGTGGACTGGGAACGAGTACCAGAGCTTGTAGAAAGGAGAGCTGTGCTTCTGTCCAAGGGGAAAGCATATGTGCCTGGCAGAGAACAATTGAGTATGATCATTGCAGAATTCACAGCGCGATTGGAACGTGCCCTCGAGGTATGTGTCTCCTTTACTACTGCATCGTGACTGATACGGACCGGCTGACCTCTACAAGCTCACGAGCCGGGCC